TATGCCAGCTGTATTCAGTTGTATTGTACTTGAACGTAAAATACTTGCTTGGTTTCAAGTTTTAAAATAATCTACAGCTGAAAGGCTTCACTTTTACCTTAGATATTGAAACTGAATATATAGTGATAATGAAACTAATAAACTATTGTTATGACACACACTCTTCCACTGGTCTTTTTGTGCTCTGTAAATCCCTGTTTCATAACTGGTAAGAAGACTAATTTTTCTACATCTTCTCTTGGAAAAATGTTACTCAGGATCCATTATCTCCTTTATCTGAGATAACCTCACCCAAATTTGGATCACTCTCTAGCTTCCACTGACCAGGGACTTACTTCAGATGTCTAAACACAGGTATTCAAGATGCTCTAGGCAGTGCAAGGCATCTCCTTATGTGTGTCTACTTACATGCTAAGTACTCTAGTATACCTGATACATTTATACATGGCTGACATACACAATACTGGACACAGAGGAAATCTGTGTCCTTCTGGAGCAGAAGCTGAAGTCTAATGGAATATTTCTGTATGGGATTTCCATAAAACTTTAATTATAACACCAAAACACTCTCCTATCTTACTGCCTCTTTACCCTTAAACTTTTCTTTCCATATCGAAATGAAATGCCTGATTCAACTCTATTTCTGTAATGTTGTATTGAGTCTGGCTGAGACAGAGTTCATTTCCCCACAGCAGCCCTCACAGTGTTGTGCTTTGCATTGGTGGCTAGAAAGGTGTTTTGGCTGCTGCTGAGTAGACAGCATCAAAGCTGTCTCTCTAAATCCCCCTCCTCATCAGTAATCTTGGGATGGGCAAGATCTTGAGAGGAGACACAAAGGTAGAGAATGGATTGAGAGTAGCTCTGTAGAAAAGGACTTGTGCATGTTGGTGGATGAGAAGCTTTACATGCCCTGTCAGTGTGCACTTTCAGCCCAGAAAGCCAACTGTATCGTAGGCTGCATCAAAAGCAGTGTGGCCAACAGGTCAAGGGAGGTGATTCTCCCCCTTTACTCCACTCTCTGCATTCAGTTCCAAGCCCCCAAAAGAAGAAGGATGTGGACCACTTGAATCTAGTCCAAGAGAGGGCCATGGAGATGACTGGAGGGATTTTCAAAAGGCTTTGTAGTGATAGAACAAAGGGAAATGGCTTTAAACTGATAGAAGGCAGGTTTAGAGTAGATATTAGGAAGAAATTGTTTACTGTGGGGGTGGTGAGGCACTGGAACAGGTTGACCAGAGAAGCTGTGGATGCCCCTTCCCTACAAGTGTTCAAGGCCAGGTTGGATGGGTCTTTGAGCCACCTGGTCTAGCGGATAGAAGGCGTCCCTGCCGACAACAGGACGGCTGGAACTATGTTGTCTTTAAGGTTCCTTTCAACCTAACCACTCTGTGATTTATGACACAGCCAGGACTGCTGACCCAAACTGACCAAAGGGATATTCCACACCACATCATGTTTGCTCAGCAACAAAAGCTAAGGGAAAGCAGAGGAGAAGGACATTCATTAGTTAATATGACATTTGTCTTCCAGAGAAACCTCTATGTGTACTGAAGCCCTGCTTCCCATATGACTGGACATCACATGCTGATGGGAAGTAGAGAATAAATATTTTGCTTTACTTTGCTTCCACACATGGCCTTCCTTTTGCTTTATTAAACTGTCTTCATCTTTACCCATGAGTTTTTTCCATCTTACTTTCTCAACACCCTTTACTGATGAAGAGGGGAGTGACAGAGAAGCTTGGTGGGTACTTGACATCCAGCCAAGGTCAACCCACCACAAATGCCTTTACATCAAGGGCTTCATCCCTCAGAAGAAAATTTTCATGCTGCACATATTGTTGCTTTAAGTGTGTCCTATAATAATAATGATGTGTTTAGAGAAAGGATTTTGTTTAATAATGATTACTTATAAGAAAAGCACTTCCAATAAAAGATGCAATTAGTGTAAAACTGGAAAAAATACTTACCTTTATGCCCTGGATACCAGGAATGCCTGGGTAGCCTGGTTCACCTGGAGCACCTGGTACTCCTAGTTCTCCCTGAGTAATACAATAGCTCTGTGTCAGTGATGTGCTGTGTGTAAAAAAATATATTGCGTGTTTTCTCAAGGTCACATGATACACTTTGGCTATGATATTTCAAAATTTTATAACTGAAGATGATTGAAACGTCTGGACAATTTGTGAAGGGACGTTGAATACAGAGAAGCCATGAAAGAGATTCCTAATTCTTAAGCTCAGTTTTCCACTATCTCTTTTTATTAATTGTCTTTTAATACACTTGATGTTGATGTTTCACAATTACACAAAAATTACACTATCTGAAGTAATGGCAATGCTTGCAAGTTTGAACTTAATGAGCACCTGAGTTACATTGCCTAAAATCCAGCATAAAATTAGTAAGAATAAGTAATCAAATGGATTCTGACGCAATTTGATGTTAACAACTGTTTTACTGTGAAACAAACCACCTTGTACAAAAATAAATAAATAAAACCCTTCTTTAGCTAGAATACTTCCAGATTCATATTTACCTTGGCTCCTGACGATCCTGGTTTCCCCTGAATTCCCGGTTCACCTTTATCACCCTATAATAACAATTATGTAAGAGTGTGGCTGATATCATTATGCTTTGTCACATGTGCTATGACCAGCAAACATAGACACTGTTGAGAAACTGACTTAAAAACAGGCACTGTTAGTGACTGAAAGGCTAAAGTTCAGGCTTATGGGAAGCCTGAAGGTGTAACTTTCTTTCAGGAAAGGTAAGATACTGACGACAAAACATGATCTGCCAGTCTCTGCTCACTGGTCCTGTCCCTACCTGCCTCATTTCCCTTCCCCAATCACTCCATGTTTGTGCATACTGACTTCACATTTCCATCATCTTATGTAATAAAACCCTGAGAGTCCTAGGATCAGTTCAAGTCAAAATATTTTTTTATGTTTTGGCTTTAATTGTAGCCTATGGAATTAGACACATATTCAGCTTGAGAATTTTCATTCAAATCTAATAATTATTGACTACTTCATGATGCCCTTATATAAGAATGAGCTTATTAAGAATGATTCTCTAAGAACCAGCTTATAATCTGAATGAGGTAATTATACAAAAAAACTCCCATTTTTCACAAAAAAAAAAAAAAAAAGCTATTTAATTTTTAGTCATTTCATTGGTATTCAATTTTCTACACAAACACTGACCACTTGAAAAAATGCTACCTTCAGTATACAATTTCAAAAAACTGCATATGTACTTTTGGATATAAAATAATGTATGGGTGGAAACAGATCTAAACGTAAATAAATCCTTTGGGAAATAGATTCTATATTCCTAAATATTCTCCAGGACACACAGTTCAGTGTTTATTGACCAAAACTCATCTTGGATTAAATTAAAAGGTTACACTAAGCAATCTGAATTTATAGTATCTATTTTAACTTCTGAGAGCATGGGTCATATTAGTTCTTGCTCTTGCTGCAGTACAATCAATAGTTACATCTGAAATAAATTTGGCTCCTTGGGTGGAAAAAACAGCACGTAATGTTATTTAACACAATTAAAATATAAATAAATGTAACATGGGAAGAATGTTCAGATATATACTGAGAATTATCTGGCTCCTAGCATTGCAGAACATTTTCCAGATCTGCAAAGCTGAAACAGTCTCATGGCCATTTCTGCAATTGTTCCAAACCTCATGGGATGACAGGTACCATTCACTGAGTTATATTAACCTCTCTTGAGACTGAAGCACCATAGAAAGTAATACAGGAAAATCATACAGCTACTCATCAATGTTCAGTACACCAAAAAATTAGCTGCAAAATCTATAAAGCAGTCATTTATCCAAGTCACATTAACACAAACACTTACCTTAGGCCCAGGAGCTCCAGGTAGACCAAGTGAACCTTCTGGTCCCATCAAACCCTATTTATTTATGAAAAAGGCAGAAACATCTCTGTATTAAACTAGAGGAATAATGGCTTCAGTATAGTATTTGTAGTATCATTATTCTATTTCCATAATGAAATAAACAGGAAATACAATGTCTTTCATCATATTACTATACAGGCTATAGTTCTGATACAGTATAGTGAATTATTTAGACCTTCTATGGTCTAATGAAGAGCTACAGTGCAATTAAAAAAACCCATACAGAAAAAAAGAACAGTGCTGTCACAGAAAATTCCTGAGAGAAAAAATTCTGCAACTCAAAACATTGTCAGTAATACATCCCTTAGCTCTAACTGAAAGTGGCACAAAAGCTTCTTGGTTTCCACTTAGTGTTTCCAAAATCAGCAATACTATATATGGCATTTCATAGTTCTCTTTCTTCTTTCTGACCCTGCGTCCCTCAAAGATTGCCAGGCCTTGACTCCTTTTGCAAGCTTTGTGGAGATTTATCGGGGGTCACACCTTTGCATCTTCTGCAGAATCTTCAGGGTTGAACTGTTCATTCAAGAACCCAATAGCTTCTGCCATTTCATATCATGACACTTCATCACAGGTACAGTCAGAGCACCACTAAGACATTCCCTTGGACTCCTCAAATGGGATCATGTTGACAAGGGCATGTTTAGCTGTCTTTGTTCCATACATAAAATGAGAGCTAAGGAGTGTTAAATCATCAGAGGGCTGATGCTCTTAATTTCTGTTTAAAGCTAGTCTCAAGATGCATGAATCAATAAAAACAATATATTATCATTGTTTTATTTGGAATTGCATAAATACTCTGAAAGAAAATACACTATAAGAGTGTACCTAAGACACAGCATAAAATAAAAGCATAGTAATACAGAAAGTCGAACAATTAAATAAGGCCTGGAAATCTAACTTTTCAGAGATTAAATTTTATCAATTATTCAAATTGATAATATTTTCAAAACCCACTGTTACTACTGTTATTTAATCTTTGTTTTCATATAAATCCAAACAACCACCTTCCATTTACTATTAAATATTAGGAACAATTCACTCCCATGACATTATCTCTTTCCAAGGTTACACGGAATTGAAACCATGTAATTTGTTACACAGATTATAATTCAGCTTTGCAAAAAACAAAAAACAAACAAACAAAATTTCTTTATTTGTTAAAACTAAAAGGGTGTCTGCAAAAAGAAGAGAAAATTCAGAATATCTGGAACAAGAAGTTACTGTCTGTAGTTGGGTTTTTCAGGATTTCATCAGTTTTCTGGCATTTCACCTGTGCTTTACTATTAACCACAGATTAACACAGATTAACCATGGATTAATTCAGGGTTTCTTTGCTGCTGTATGGTAAGAATGTACTGGTCACCAAAAGTTTCCATCAGTAAATACAGCAACTTATTCTTTAGGCCAGAGACACAGGTCTGCGAATACAAATAAACTGTATCAAGCACAAGAATAAAACTTGAGTAACTTTGCTGCCAATGTTCCTTGGTCTAAAACTTTTCCTGCTCAGTCAACTGCACATGAAAAACCTATTAAACTTCAATTTTTCTAAATTAACTAATATCATACATTGAATAATTTCTAAACTTTCTTGAACTTTCCTGATGCTTGTTCTTACTTACACAGAAAATCAGTCTTCTTATCGAAGAATGTGCAGCTAGTGTAATCTATTACTTGGTAAACAAAGGTTTACTACACCCTACCCCATTTCTTTCATAATTTTGGAATAGAATTACCAGTTCTTCTCCAAATGGATTAAAGTTTCTGAGGACAGCTTACACTCATAACCTAAGAGATTGTGTATTCCCATTAACCATTTGCTTACGGACTACATCAAGCATCAACTTTGTTACAACAAGACTAATGAAATATTCTTTTGGTTTTGTAACCTAACCTTGATTACATAAATGCTGTCTTAATTCACTTGCACATAAGGTCTACTTCTTCAGTTTTTCTCTTTTTATTGACATAGAAAAATAAGTTTTTATTAATTTTCATTTCACTGTAAGGTTTAATTCAGTTTGGCTCTTTGAAATCAAATTTCATATTATCTATTGACCTCCTTACTTGTGAAATACAGCACTCTTCATTGTGTGATCTTTTTTGCATTCCTTGAGGACTACCTTCCTTTCCCAAAAAGCATTGTGAAATTACAATTTTCATCTCCTCATATTTCTGTTCTGTTCTCATTACTAACACATTAATTAGTAGAGAAAAGCAAGCACAAGTTCATGGAGGTATTTCTGGCTAGGATTTCTGGCTCCTTTCACATTGCCCGTGTTTCAAGTCATTGACACATTGAGAATCTACCATCTACCACTAGATCACTTCTAGTTGACACCCACATCAGTCCCTGAAGCAGCGTATGGTCATCAAAAATGCGCCTCATGCATTTTATCTTATGTAAAGTGGAAATACTATGTGTAAAGAATAGCTTTTTTAAATTAACGAATCAGCTATGTGTATATATCCACACTGACATGCAAACATATACTAGAGAAGGCAAATCAGAAAATATTTTTAGTATAACCAAAGGTCAAGCATACATCTGCAGGAAAGGTAGAAATAAAACCCAATTGTCCTGGTTTCCTAGGACATGGAAATACGGAACTAGGCCACATTTAACTTACTTAATTAAAAAAAAAAAATAGGAAGACAACTACATGAAATCAGAATGCTGCAAGAAGAAAACTTTCAGTTGCAACATGAGAAAAGCTTGAGAACATAATCTGGAAACTATTAAAATTAAAAGAGGAGAGAGTGTCCTGAATAAAACTGAAGAACAATTCAAGGACATAAAATGAAGCATTACTCCCCCATTTTCCAGAGCTAGCACTATTTATATCATGGGTAAATTAATAAATTGCTGGTGTTGGCAATGTAGTAGGGATAGTTATTTCTGAAGAAGAACTTGTTACTGAATAATTTTCCCAAGGTATTAATAGACCATCCACAAGCTTTCCATCTGTTTTTTCTGGAATAAACATATTAAATGTGACTAATACAAGGAAAATCCCACTATCTTTTCTGGTTGAAATTCCCTAATGCCGTGTAACATATTCAAATATTCCATGCATCAATTTCCTATTTAATTTATCAGGTGACAAAAAGTACATTAAGTGACTTGACAGGAAAAAGGAATAAATTATTTTCGAGTGTAACAAGAACCAAATGTTATTTATCTAAATAAAATTTGAAGAAAACATGGTAAGTGAGTTAAATAAGCATGTACACTTTATAATCCCACACGGTTTATTACAGCTGATGATACAGCCTTCCCTCTGGCATTTTGTTCAACTTTGCTCAAAAAAAAATGGAGAAAAAATTTCCTCCAATAGACAATAAAAGTATTTTCACTGAACTGGTCTGTTGGCTTCCTGAGAAACTGAAGTTTCTTCTGTTTGAACTGGGCATTGACAAGCCCTTACACGCACAACGTATAATGAATCTCAAGATAAGGCAGTAAGTAAAAAAATCAAGTGACCTTTTGATTATTGTCATATATTACAACATTTATATATGCCATTCAGCTGCAAAGCAAGAAATGTTATCTATTTTTTCCCGTGACAAGTGATACTAATTCTGTAGACTGAATACAACTGTATAAAATCTCTTGCACTACCATATGGCTCAATATCCTAAGAAAAAATCCAAATTTTTAGAAGGTTAAAGTTTTTAGTAATGTAGTGGTCCCTTGTCCATAGAGATAATAGCATCAGTCATCGTTCTCTACAATTTGCTCGAGGTTGAATATAGGCCAAAACTTAGATTCTTTAGCTAATCAAAAAGTCGTAGTAAACAGCTTATTTATTATGCTAAACCATGTATCTCCCAGGAAACTCAGAACCACTTTAGTCAGGAAAGAAGATAACATGTCTCCAGCGTAAAAGGCAAACTGCAAAAAGACATGTTAACAGTGAGGATGATTAGTAATGGAACTAAATAAACATGGTTTCCTCAATAGAAGAGATCATTATTTTTTAAAGGTAGCATTAGGAAAGACCTGCCTGTAACTAGTTTTAAGCAGTTGTCCTTTTTGCCTTTAAAATTTTCATTTTTAAAGTCTTTATATACTTTCACCAACTTTCAGAACAATTATTTTGTTACTGTGATTTCTAAAGGACTATGAAGAACACAGAAATCACCCTACTCAGACAGTAACAAAGATGTGGTAACCCAACTGCCCAAGAAAGAACGAACTATTTTCAGTTTCCCTCATTCAAAACAGAAATTTCTCTTTAAGCAGTTTGGGAATTCAGTGATCTCAGTTATCCTCACAGTCTGTCAAAAGAGCACTATCACAAAAGCATCTTGAAATTCATCTCCAGAAATCCATTACACAGAATGGCAATATTTAAGTCAGTATTAACTTTCAAAATAAATTTACTTCAGTACTTTCAAAGTCACTTCAAATCTAATTGATTCAGAGGCTCAGTTCAGACTAATCTATTGCTGTATTTATCAAATGTGCAGTCAAGAAATCATAAATTTTAAATAAAAAGGGATATGTAATACTTGTGGAAAAAGTCAAAGATTAGACTTAGTCTGATCATATTTTGCAACCTGAAAATGCAAGGATGCTCCTGTATTTTCCATTGCTTGCTTGTTTATGATAAGGAGAGAATGACAACATCAGAATTATTTGTCCCTAATAACAAATTTTTGCAAACTTACAGTATCTCCGGGTGACCCTTTTGCTCCTGGTTGACCTGGCGGTCCAATTTCACCCTGTTTTTTATAAAAGGAGAAGAATTCTGTAATTAATATATGTACACAACAAATTTCTCAGATATTCTTTAATTATGCAGGTTTAGTTAGCTAAGATTATTTCTCAAAGTATTATGAAATTAGTTTTGTTACTTTTTAAAATACTCATTCCCTCTGGAATAGATAAAATAAAACCTAATGATTTTTGAACATGCCACAAAGAAATTGTACTTGATGTCATAAATCCCCACTATGAAAACTCTCCTCTGAGCACAGATTGAACCCTTATTTTGGAATGGAAGTATATATATATGTGCAGGTTTTTACTGTGTTATAAACAATTAATAATACCTTTTGTCCTTTGACTCCTTGATTTCCAGGGATTCCAGGAATTCCCTGAGGAAAAAAAAAAAAAAAAAAAAAAAAA